AATCATTTTCTAGCAAAAACTGTCTGAAACTGAAATGTTAAACTAGAGAGTCTCTGCATGAAAATACATGGAAATAAACTGGAAATTCTAAATCTGAATCATTCCATTTCTAGTGTGGAGTCATGACAGGTGATATCAAGTTATTTATGGTAATCAGGCTACATACAGTCAGAAAAAATACTATGAGAATACAGAAACAATTACAGCAACAAGATAAAAACCAATATTAAAGAAACCATGTAAACTTACATGAAAAACAAGATCTTTGATTATGTAGGTGCCCTGCCCCCACAGTTCATGATGTTTTATTTCTAATTTATTGCTGCTAGATCCCACTTCCTTCAAACGATTGTTATTAATTTTTTGTTCTCCCCAATTTGTTTATTTATTTTGACTGCTAACTCTTTTCCAAAATGTAAAGGTCCATTCCTTAGCCACATACAGAAGATTCTTAATTAGAACACAGGTCAGTTGTTTTGTTTCACGTTATTTAAATAGATTATGTGTATTTCAGTTACAGATTGATTTTTTTTGTAACCCCTAAAATACAAAACAGTATACCATCGAAACTGGCTGAATCCAAAGCCGATTTTTTTATTTGCCTAAGCATTACATAATCCAAAATACGCATGCTGAATGTCTTCTACCCGGTATCCTAGCAACAGTTCATGATGAGGATACGTTTTAATGTCACCCGTTCTAGAATCGTGACGAATCAACGATTTATTGGGAGGAAAATAAGTTCCAGTAGGAAACAACAATATGGTGGAAAAATCATTATGTCTATGCCACATGCTGCATAGATCTTACCGATCATTCCATCATCTGGAGGAATTTGTAGAGAAGCCACGAGATGGTAGTTTATAAATATTCAAAGACATGTGGTTAGGCTGTTTACCGAAAGGAATGGAAAAGGACGCGTGTTTAAAATGTTCGTAAATGTGAGAACAATTTGAAGATAATCGTCTCAGGGTGTTATCTTACAAAATATCATCCCTTGATAGTTTTGAGGAATGATGATGATGAAGAAGATGATGAAGATAACAATAAAACAATATTTTGTTTAAGACTTTTACATGAATCTCACAGAACAGAACATCATACTATTTGACAGGGGTGATAGCAGATGGGACATTCTACTAATCTGCAAGGCGTAATATCTGTGACCATTACTTACTCACAAAGTAATGAAAACATCACACTTTTAAATATTTGTTACTACCTTCTAGATTTGAGAACAAAAAATTCCCATTCTGTATAGACTCATAAAGTATTTCTTTGCATATTAATGTTGCCATGGAAACAACCCTCAGGTGTGATGTGATTACTTAAAATGAATACTCAATATAGCATACAACAGTAGACATAACCATCTCTGGAGAGTGCTGAAAATATTATTTGCCTAGGAGAAGTCCACCAAGCATGGAAATAAGTATGAACACTGAAAATATCTACATACAATTAAGAAATATGCCCTGAATGACTTCGTTGAATTGAGTAGAACAACTTGTACTTTGTCCTTCTTAAAACAAGATACAGCACTCAAAAATGTGTTAATTTCAGAAACCTGTGTAGTAAGATTTTTTTTGCCTCCATCTTGACAATCTTATTTTACACTGCTCAAAGCTTGTCATTTTTTTTCTTCTGCTCATCACAAGTTTGACAAAAATTTTCACATATGACCTTTCATTTCTGCAAAATATTAATGAGAACGACCTTAACGGATGTACTTTTCAATAACATCTGTGCAACCTACCAGGGAATAATTATCAGCGTTCCCAGTAGCACAATTCTAGTATAGCCGTAACCATTCACTATATATAAATTATAAGCAATTAATAGATAAATTTGGCACTGTGTCTGTACACTCGTACACATTTTTGGCATAATGATTTCCTTCTTACAAGAGTTTTGAAAATCTTAAACCTTAAATGTGGTTGCTATAGTAATTTAGAATTATTGTGTGGTACATTTTATTTTCATTTTGTGACTTTCACCCATACAAAAAATGTTGTGCTGTCCTTTTCCTTAAAGTTTTATTCCCTCAAAAAAAAAAGAGTACTTTCACTAGCTTATTTGATACAGTTTTCAAGAAGGTCAAGACAAGTTTTGAACACAAAAAGGCATAATTTGATAATCAATATGTAAATTAATCTATTAATAAGCACAGAATTGTGCAAAAACCTGATCGGAGCTTGCAATTGCCTCAAAGTATCTGACAACCAAGTTACAACTAAACTCATAGTCATTGGTTCCAAAGAAGCTGATTTCCAATGATGCACTAAGACTAATTAATTAATACAGCATGCGCAGATGACTCCCGTGACATTTTCTGTTTCTTTTTTACCAGATGGTGCTTTCATCAATTAATTGATCCATTAGCAGCAATTAAGCGTAACAAATTATCATAGCACACATTTATGCATGTTCCTAAATTGTAAAAAATAAAAAAATAAGGTCTTTTTTCTTTTAATCCTGGGTAAAAGTTTTTATTATTGTTGTTGTGAGCTTATTCAATATTTCAACAATATGTTCAACATTGAACACGATATTCTTATAAACGCTAGAAATTTTGAAGATTTCAGCATTTTATTGCATTTGTGGACACAAAATTTTCACAGACTCACAAAATTTGTGAATATTTGTTGCTAACGAAACTCAAGCGGTTTACAGTACTACCTCAATACTATTGTTATACTAATCTTTGCTTTCAGATTTATTCCAAAGTATTAACCTTTTCACCACCAATTCCCTATTTTCATTACAAATTCAAAAATTTTACATTTTTACAAAATTACCGGTACTAAAAAAATATCCACGAGTCGCAGGGGTCCAACTTGCGACAATGATGAGAAGCAAACGTTGTCTTTTTACCTAATGGATCTTAATAAATGAAACTCAGTATGCCTGATGGAAAATTTCTGTTCCATCAACAACTACTTTGTGGCTAAAAACAAATTTGCTATTACTGTAAGAAAAGAAGGAAAAAACATTTTTCAGGAACTTCAGTTACGTATGGTATTTGAAACACACATTTTTCAAAAGTACTTTGGCCACTTTTACAGGCATTTTCAGCCATGAGTATACAAACATATAAAGATTGGTACAGTCCAGTATCATTTACACTTTAAAGTGTCAGTCATATTTTCAATATTTTTCACAAATATCTAACCGAGATGAGCAGATTTTCTGCTGCACAAACATGAATTTAAATAAAGCAGTTTGACCATGCTTGGACCACAGAAATGCTGGTATTTACTCCAAGGCTTGTAAACAGGGCGCTTTTATCAAGCTTGGCCATGGATACGCTGGTGTTTAATCCAGGTCTTGTAAGCATGGCATTATCTGTAGCCAAGCTACAAAGAAACAAGAGATTGTTGATATGTTACTTAGATATAATGTAATAAAACGCATACGTAAATTAGAGAGTAATAATATGCAAATTTGTTCTCACATTCTTAACCTATAGGAGACTTTCTATTATTAGCGGTTAGTGCTTTTTCAACGGCATGTTCTTTACAGTACGAATACAGGTTATAATGTCTGTCTAAAAAAGTGTTGTACATGTAACATCAATTCTGACAAAAGTTACAGCGGTGTTTCTATGTTACAACCAACCAATGAGCAACATGGAAACGAACCCAGTAACCCATACGTACAGACTGACATGTGGGATAAGTCTGCGTCTTGACCTTTAACCCTAGTACACTACGTGACAATGTGTATTAGAAAATCAATGTACAGTTTTGGCTGTAGACATCAGATTTAATAGTATGCAAAGCATTTATTGACGTTATAAAAGAATAACCATGGTATCATCAGATATATGACGTTTCGCATTCAGAGGATGACGAAAGAAACCATCTGAACTGAATCGTTGGGTTTCACACGAATAACTTACGTTCAACTGTCCAACTGGAACATTGTGATCAAGTGCATGAAAGGCATAATAACAAGTTTCTTTTCTTTTTTTTACAATACACACGTAGTAGCACAAGATGCAAATCAAAGTGTATCATAAGATGCAAATTGGCTAGAGAAAATAAAACATGAATACAGCGACAAACTTGCCACCTTTTTTTCTTTTCGAAGTTAATAATACTTCCTGTCAACGTCAGGAACAAAGAAAAACACAAAATATCAAGTTGTCTTACTGCAGCTGCTCTATTAGAAGCATGTTATCAATAAAGACACATATCCACTATAAACACTATGTGGGTAACTATTTTAACGAGTACTCTACATGCACTGCACTGCTAATACACAAAATACGGTAGTGCTATTCATCAAACAGCAGTCATTTTAACAACCTCCCAAATACACCATGAAAACAGTTGCATCATAAATGTCATAACACTTTGATATGACAAAGTGGACTGACCAGACTATTTTAATAGCTTACAGTTGTGACCATAAATACACGCGTATGGGATAAAAACATTTCGATTCGGAAAATTCCAGCGACGAAAATGTTAAAAAAAATATCACTGAGACGAATCTACAGGGATAGTGAAAAGTGTAAACATAACTATAAACGCACGATGGTGGTGAAAGGTGTTTCAGCTGGTCACTGTAAATGAGAAACACTTGGAATGCTAACATGTGAAAGATGACAGAGAAGAAATGTAAATATTGACAAGAAAAAGAAAAAAAAAAAATCCCACATTCTGAATTCTGCTATCAGAACAAACCCAAGACTTATTTGCATGCATGATTGTAAGAATCAGCAATCATTGGCATTTTCTCCCAGGGGAGAAAGCATTGAGTGACATAAAACATCTGTTGCTAGGATACCAAGCTCAGTTAGTTGATGAAGACCACCCCAATCCTTGCTTGAGATGAAAAAGATCCTTACCTCTGGGTCTACACAACCGTCTGTTTCATCTTGCCTGACGACCTAGAATGAATGAAACACACCGTAATTAATAACAAGTTATAACTAGCTTAACATGGAACACTTTAATTTTTTCATAGGTCCTGGATTTTCATCAGGGTTCTTCAAACAAGGAAGAAGACATTTAACAACCTCCAGTGAATTCTGTGAAAATTTATCTATGTGAAGACGATCAAAATATCAATTCGTGAAAATGATACGGTTAATAGACACATAAACAAAACATTGATGATTTGGGGATAACCAGTTCATCTGTAGCAAACCAACATATTTTAAACGTGCAGACGAGAAACATTTTTTTTTTATTTCACAGATAATATTATTACATACATGCATTCTTAATTTGCCAAGGCTAAAAAAAAAAATTTGACATTAACAGAGAAACCTCAAAGTTTGTCAATTCTACTAAGCCCTCAACCTCAATCATATAAATTTCTTGTTCATTTTTATTACGCAAGAATTATTTCTTAACATTGACAAACTAAAACACAAATTAAACATGCAAAAGATCATTTTGAATGAAACACTGCAACTATAAAAATTAAGATACTGTGAGAAAAAAATAAATTTTATATCGGCTGGCTGACGCACTTTGCTTTACATGCAAAAACAAGTGAAAACAACATCTTGAGACAGTTCTCAGTACATGCAATGAACATCAAACAGTAACTAGTGGTGTATAGGGCTTAATTATTAGTCTGGTTTTATTTTCGATTATAGCTAAATTAAATCCCAGTGAATAATCAAATTCAGCCGCAGTATATCTTTTCCTTCATAAATCAGTGAATTTTAAACATAGCAAAAAAAAAACCAAGCAGCATCAAATAAATCAAGTGAATATATCCCCTTCTTCTGAAAGCAGAATGTTAACCCAACAAAGAGTCAACAAGACTAGTAAACAAACGAACATGTGGTATCAAACTCTAGTTGGCGCTATTCACCACCTAAAGCTATTACAGTCTTCTATTAAGGTCATATTGTTAATGTATCAAAGTAACTGGTAATTGACGATATAAATCATCACTTTTACTCATTGCAATATTCACATTTCGTGAGAATGGAGGAATTTCGATTCAAAAAAAAACATTGTCATGCAATAAAAACTCAATCAAGTCGAAATAAAAGATGTTTTAGCTAAGGTAAATCTAACATATTGCGAGTGAAATGGCACAATAGCATGTAATCATTTACATCAGACTGAAAACACCCGACGTATGAACTCAGTCAGCAGATATTAATCTTCAAAGCTCAAACCGATAACTTCAAAGAAACATTTAGAACATTGTTGTCAAAACAAAAAGCACAGTAACATATGGAATAGAGAGTAAAATGGATGAAAGCAACATCACTATTGCACTGGGTGTTTTATATGCAAATACATGGGAACCTATTATGGGATAGGCAGTACTGCTTAATTCAACCTTTTAAACAACATCATTCTTCATGCCAATATTTTGGTGCAATATTATGCACACTTTTCTATATTTTTCTGTAATTTCTTTGCTACTTTTGGACCAAATGGACTAATTTTCCGTTAGCTACAGATATGTGGGATAAATCATGCAGGTTTATTCTGTGTATGATGACAAAAGTTGGATTTAATGTTTGAAAGGTTGACATGCCTACTTTTTTCCCCAGACAATGTATTAAATTAATTAGCAATTATATATATATATATATATATATATATATATGGAAGTATCAGTGATTGACCCGATTTGGGGTTAGTTTGTGATAAAATAGTAAATTTTCAACTCCCAGCATTTTCTTATTTATTAAGGCACAAAATAGTAATTAAGTGAATAGATACACAGTATATACAAAAAAATTTGCACAAGATATTTTTGTAGTTATATTTATCATGGCAATTGTTATGCATGCAATCAATGACCTCCCAACTTATCTTCATTATTTAAATTATATACCTTAACAAATTTGAAAAAAAAAATTATTTTGCTACAACAATCTCAGAGGTAGTGATAATAACAATTTTTTAGGCATAGGATGTGAACAACTGTGCAGTTCGGACTGCAACAAAAAAATGTATAGAAATAAAAATAAATAAATTTAAAAAAAAAAAATTATGCATTACTCTCTTGTTTTATTAAATTGCTGACATAGATGTGAATAATATATGCAAATATTAAAAGAAAAATAAGAATTGATATGGTAAACATCCCACATGATATTTTTTTAGAGCTGACACCAGAGGGCGACCTACATGCTACAGAAATTATTTTGCTTCAATCC